GTTTTAATCAAGTGAGTTTTTTCTGTAAATTGCCCACAATCATAGTGAGTGGGCAAATGTTGCATTATAGAACAAAGGCATGATGTCTGTATTTTTTTATTTTTTTTAAAAGGAAAATACTGTGATTCAAAACATTACACATTACTGAAAGACAGGAGGAAAATGAGTTTTTGCTCCCCCTGTGTATCCACCAGGGGGAGCAGGGATAATTGAAGCTTGTTCATTTACAGCTTCCATTTTAAATTTGCTTAAAGCTTCTATAATTATAGCAGAATTATGATGTTGAATGTTCCATTAAACAGAATCGGGTTATACAGATTCTGCCTTGCAGCAAATAAAGGAGATCTTGTGCACACCGAGTCTTTAAATAACATGAACATTTTTTTGTGAGCAAACAAAAACTGTTGGAAAATGTTTATTTTACCAAAGTTGCCACATGTAGGGTTTTCCTTACTACATTTGGCAAGTTCTGTTGAAACAACCAGTTAAAATCAATCTTTGACTCACTGTCCTGCCTTTTAAATATAAATAAGTGTAGTGACCTTTATACATAGACATTCCATACAGTACTGCAAAAACTAAATACATTCATTTTTTGACAGTCAGTAAAAAACATCCAAAACAAATCCGCTCATGTGGGTGGCCGCATGGCCAGCGGCACAGACAAATCAGTTCAGGCAGGCGACTGTTTGGCCAGCGGTGGCACCGGTGCTGATCTGGAGGGCAGCACAAGAGATGCTGCACTGTAGACCGGCGGAGATGATGGGATGCCTCTAGCAGCTTGGCAGGTTACTGGCGGCGTGGCTTGGCATAGCCCTCTGGTGGAGACAGAGCAGGACCAGCAGGCGTGGGAACCTCTGGCTGAGGCGAAGCAGAGCACTCGGCTGGCTCTGGATGCTGTGGCTGGAGCTCAAGTTGAGGACTGGGCCGCCTGTCCCTTGGCACCGTAACAGGTGGAAGAATTGGCCGGACCTTAGCTGTCCCTATCTGAGGAACAGGTATGGGTGCAGGGACAGGTTGGGTCTCAGCTGTCCTCACCCTGGGAGCAGGAATGGGCTGAGAGACAGGTGTGGATATAGAAACAGAATGACAGGAATAATCGGATTTAAAGGTGCAGGTGTCCTTAATGACAGACTGACATGGTGGAGCATTTTTTTGGAAGCAGGTTGATGATGAACATTTATCTGATAGTCCAGTCCAGGTTTACAACAAACAGTCAGTGGCTCTTTAGCTGAGCAAACAGAAGTCTTAATCTGTCTTAATTTGTGGCGAGCAGGAGGGAAAAAGTCAGTTTCACTCACAACTGGAAGTTGCTGCTCTGAATGAGAAGAACTGTGGTGGCGAGAGCCTTGCCTCCTCTTGGCGGTGACAGTAGGAACGCTGAATGACGAAGCCAAGTAATCAAGTCACTTAAAAATAACAAAGGAAATAGTCTCGCATTAAAAATCTTGCTAAAATTTGAATTTTAGAAGTTTTTTTGTCCAACTGATTAATAACGTCTTTCTTTGTTTTATGTTGTTAAGTAAATTGCCGATATTAAAATTACTGATATTGTCTACTAATTACAAAGTTACTAATAATTGCAATTCCAAAGTTAGAAAACATTTTGATAAGATTTTAACCACATTGTCATCTGATATGCTGTCGTCAAGTGTATTTCTTCCAGTGACTCAAAAGTTGTTTATCTGTGTTAGGGATGCATGGAACCAACTGGGAAAAATGAGTAGTGAGAGCGCCATGGCTGCCTATGTGGACGAGATGAAGAAAGTTGC